CAGGGACTCTGCACTTGTTGAAACAAGAAACGCAGACGATCCCGTTACATCCGCTGTCTGATGGCATAGTGGAGAGGGTTAACCGTACAGTCCTGAACCACCTTTCGTTCATGGTTTCCAAAACCAAGAAGACTGGGATCGCAAGCTGCGCCCGTTCCTGCGTGCTTCCCGGTGTCCGTCCACGAAAGCACCGGCTATTCTCCATCATAGATGCTTTCGGGGATGATCTCCCTCTCCAAGTGACCCTGCTCTTCGCCGTTCCCGAATGTCATTCCTCCCGAGGAGTACGTGCAAAACCTCCGGCTGGTTGGAAACAGTACACAGGTTTTCTCGAGAGCGGATCAAACTCTCGCGGACAGATAAGAGAAATACGACACAAGAGCCACCGAACATCAATTCCAGGTAAAAGACAGGTGTGGCTGTGAAATCCAGTCTCCGTAAGGCGTTTCTCCTAAACTGCAGTCGCATTGGGAGGGTTCCCTTACAGTCCTCAACAGACTGAACGACGTGTGGTACGGATCCGTAATCCCCAATTCCAAACCCAAGTTTTTATTAAGAACAAATTAGCCCCATGCTTGCCTAAATTATAGTTCTTTCATTCTGGGGTAACCTAATTCTTGTGCATGAGTTTTCTTACCTAGTTTCTATATAAGTTTTATGTAGTGTAAATGTTTGTTTCTTTAGTTATGTAATTTGTTTTATTACATTTTCTTTGTACCGAATTAGGCTTCTGACCAAGGATTGTACTGCGCGGACATGCAGTCCTTGAGGGGCAGTGCTGCGAAATGTACAGCGCGGTGAGATAGCTTCCCCGCGAAGAAGGTTTAGGGTTGCCACATTTGGCGAGAAATTGCTCATTTGGCGTCAAAATTGGCGATATACCATGGACGGATGGAGAACCTTTTGCAACGAATTCTTACCGGTTTAGCCGAGAATGTTCTTGAACACAAGCCGAAAGCTATATAAATCCTGCTAGTTCGCAATCAGTTAGTGTGCCTCGTCTAGCGAGCTGATAGTTAGTCATTGAGCGAGTGTCTCGAAGTCTAGCGCCGAATTGGTCGTTGAGTGCATCGAGAGAGTCTTTAAGTGTATCGCGAGTTAGTGCATCGTCGACTTTTGTCTTAGACTGTGCTGAATTGAGAGCTATACTCTTGTGTATCGTCGAGTGCATCGCGATTTGTAGCGCGGAAAGTCTCAAGAGTACGTGGAGTTCCGAGAACGACCGAGTCGGAAGCTGTACTCTGGTGCTTTGCAGCGAAGCCGTCTCGACCGTTATAGCCTGATAGTGTGAAGGCTATGTCGCTGATTGTGTCAGCGTTTTTATAGTAGTTCTTCAACGACAACGACTATAAAACATTACTTTGGAGCTGTCCTGATTAATATTGACCAAATAAAGTGTGCTTCGATACTTCATCAAGTGTCGTCGTTATTCACTCCAAATCCATACGAATTCCGTACGAATTGGTATCAGAAAATAACGTAACATATTATTATTAATATCTACTTATCTATACTATACTACTTTTAATGTTTAAAATTTGTACTTTTAAAAAATTGTAAAATGAAAATAAATACTACTTTTTCAACTAATTCTAGATCATCGTATGTCTGATTTTTCCCGCCGACACAGATACATTTCCGAATCCAATGCTAGTGACTATTAATATATTTTAGAGTGTTTTATAGCAGATTCAGTATTTTATTATTATTTGCATTATTTCCTTATTACGAATATATTCTATATATTATTGTAAGTGTTTTGGGGAGGGGGGCGCCAAAAAGGTATTTTGCTCCGGGCGCCGGTTATGCTTGCTACGCAACTGGGACAGCACCAAATCTGGGTCACTAATTAGTTTTAGAGCAGCTATCGTATTTTCTTATATCTTACACACACACACACACACACATACACACACACACACATATATATTACTACTATATTTTATAGTAGTGAAATATAGAAAATTTCAAATTTCTACCACTAGTAGTTTTTGAGTTATGCGAGATACATGAATATGAACGTTCAGATTTCATATTCGTTTTCTTCTCACTTATGCCACATACAGTTCAACAACAAAATCATAAAATATTTAACTACTTGCATAGCAGCATCTATTCATAATTTCCGATACATAATTAAATACTCCCACATATTTTTCAGTCTTTTCTCAGTTCATCATATCAATATTCAATTTTTTCTTAGTAAGAAGATTAAATGTTTTTTTTTGCCTTTTATTATTAACACTTTATGTGTTAACTTTATCTATTAAATATCACATTCTTAGCAATTAAGCCACATAAAATTCAATTTAAGAGCAAAATCATACATGATTAAAAACAGCATATCTTTAGAATTCTTGATAGAGCGTTAGAAGTTTGCCATACAAATATGTATTTTCGTAGACATTTGTAAGTATTGTATGTTTATTAAAATCAATCACATTAAAAAAATTGAAAAAAAGTTCGTATGAACTGTGTTTATTGCTTTTAAATTGCTTAGTTTATTACTCAGTAACCTTCCAGATTAAATTCAAAATTTAACGCTTACTCTTAAGCTTTACTGAATGGCATTACGCTGGAGCCTGGAAAATAAAAGTATTTTATTTCTGGCTGCGGCAACATATTGCTTTCGTAAAACCGAGTTTGTTCATTAAAAGTGAAAGATAAATATCTTAAAATTTTTCCGAATGGCAAAAGTCTTGCGCGCTGGAGGTAAAGTGTTTAATTTCGAACAGTGTTGCCACTACTCGCTTTCAGATCGCTGAGTTTGTTAATCAAAATTTATATAATAAATAATGCTATAAAATATGAAATAAACAATGAAAAAATTGGAAATTCAAACTTAGAGTTTCCAGGTGCTCATGTTCGGATGGAGGACTACTCGTACGTTATTCATAATTTGATGAGTATAGGTACCGTCGTTTTTTTCACAGAGCGAGAAACATGCATACGTACATGCAGATTATTCATTATTTAATTTCATAAAAAATAATACAAGACGATAATATTTCTTGGCAAGTATTTAACAAATAATACGCCGTTTGTAATGAATCAAAGCAAGATACCGCTTCGAAATCGCAAGTTTCCGTGTATGCCTTTTCGGCTGAAAAGGGGGGGTCTTTTAGAGCCTCTAAAAGGCGGTGTATGAATGGTTTCAGAATGAATAACATACAGTTTTCCCATTTGTTGATTATACACTGGCTATCATTAATTAAAGAAAAATCACAAAAATGACGATTACTCAGAAAGTTACATGTAGAATTTAATGAAACTGACTCACAGTATGCAACATATAGTAACGTATACAATAACATCTAAAGAAGTTACCAGACAATTATGGCGTTATATAGAAATTAGCATATGTATAAAATAAACAAATCGGTGGTATTAGTTTGGTATAGAAAAATTACCTTCAATATGAAGTATGATGTCCCACAGAAGCAAATACAGCACATATAGCGATGTATGATGCTGACAATTATGTCGTCTATCACTTCCTTATTGAGAGCCATTGCTCTTAAAAAGCAGTTGCAAGCGTGGAAAGGGTATAAAGAGGAAGACAGATAGCAGCTTTTATGTCTTCCTATAGCATCCGAAACAGTCTCGATAGGATTCTGGTGCGGTGATCGACTTGGCCACTCAATGCCCTGAATTATTTCTTACTGAAGATAATCATCCACGATGTGAGTACTGTGTGGTCTACGGCTGTCGTCGTCTAGCACGAAATCACCACATATTGCACCGGTATAAGGGTGCACATAAGCGTCAAGGATATCATCTCTATAGGCCTGAATATTTACAGTTCCACGTGAAGAGACATGGGGTCTGTACGTCCACCCAAAGAGATACCACCCCAAACACAGACACTGCCTCCTTCCGTATGCATCTCTTTCACGGATATTTGAGGGATTGATAATGGATTCCAAATCATAACACCTACCATGGGTTATGAGGCTCATCCGTAAAGAAAACAGCTCTCCACGGATCAGCCGCCCAGTGGACATGTTGACGTGACCACCTCAAACTTTCTCTTCTATTACGTGACGTGAGCGGTACGAAAACGGCTCTTCGCTTGCATGCAGACCTTTGTGAAGCCTTCTAGGCACAGTTGACGTTGACACCAGCCTTCTGGTGGCTGAAGCAAAGGAGGATCTGAGTTGAGTCAGAGTTGAAGTTGTATTCATTCGTGCGCATAACAACAAATATCTGCCATCGACGCTCGTCGTAGCGGTTGACTTAGAAGTTCTTGCCCCGGTATAAATTAGTTAAAGTCTATTAACCACAGAAGGATTCAAATTTAGCCATATGCCCATCTCTGTTTGTCTTTGTCCCGCCTCTAGTTTCTCAATAGCTCTCTATCGCAGTTCTTTGGTCTAATGATGCCTGGAGGCCGTTATTACAAATTGGTCGATCATTATATATTTGAATGTGATATAACTAAAGATTTACATTAACCATATACATCAGAAAATGCCAAACTATGGTTCAAATAACTACAAAAAAGTAACATCCTTAGACAAAAACTCAAAAATCTAATAAATTATTTAGCAATAAACTACACGATTTGAAGGCAGAATAAATACTATTACTTTATCATATATTATGTAATAAAATATTATCATGCATTTACTTGATTAAAATTAATTGTTATATTACCAAAAGCAACTATTATGTTATTTATATGGAATTGCTATGTTATTGATATTATTGTTATATTATTGATATTATTATGTAACTAAATTATGCAATATTGTCCTTATTATCGCTATTTTTGAGATTTTTTCTCAGTTTTGAAAACCAGGTATTGGGCTTTCTCTGCAGTGTGCTTTGTGTATTTCTCTCTATCTGCAGTAGCTGTTTTATTAAGAATTTTAAATCTCAAATCATAATTTTCATCGTTCCATTAGATACCAATTGCGAATATTACATATATAAAGATATAAATATAGAATGATAGACGATAAATAGATAGTTAGCAAGAGAGATGAAAGAATTTTTTATCGTTTTTATTTACAATTCGTAGCACTTATAATCATTTATTACCTTCTCGCCATCTATTGGATAATAAGACTGATCATGATGCCAAGGCGTTACTTTATCCGTACCAGGTTCCTTTACCAGAACATGCTCGTGGTAGAATGCAATAGTCTGTAAGAAAATAAAAGATAATAGATACAAAGGAAATAATATCCATTTGCCAGTGCATATCTCACTCATTAATTACAAGAAATGAATAGTAATAAAATATACTTTTTTCCATTATTTGGATGATATCACCTTTTGGTATCCACTACAACTACTGATGCCGAAATTTACAAAACTTTTGACTTCTAATCTTCCTTTTAGGTTCTACGATCACTAAGCTGCTTACTTTGTAGCGAATAGAAAATAATACCCCACTCAGTAGTTCATAACTGAACAAATAAAAGACAAATATAGCGTAATAAGGAAATTACTAGGCATATTGAAACGCAGTAAAATATAGCAGAACTTCTGCGCCTCTTCAGTAAAACAACAGCAAAATGGAATTTTTTCCTTCCCAATATTTTCCATAAAGTTTATTCCCAGGATGGGTAGTATTATTAATTCCGAAGATCGAATTTACTCCTAAAAATAAACCAATTTATAAGAGGAAGTCTTATAAAAAGGGAAGCCAATGCAAAGCTGTTCTCTTCTCTGAAAGAAGAACATTTTGTGTAAACTTACAAACGAAAGCCTATTTTAAGGACCTCCCTCTTATTTTATATATTAGATCAAATATATGGAATGTTTATGTAAATTAAGGTTATGAAAGCATCGAGCAAATGACAATATTTGAGCGGAGAAGAATGTATGGTACATCTATTCTTTTTCTACGTCGAAAATAGCTTATTTGCAAAATGACAATTGCCAAGTATTAAATTTCTTTAGCCGGAAAAAATTCCTTTTATTTAAAATTTTAATATTTGCAAAAAAAATTGAATTTAGTACTTAAATATTATTCCATTCACCATGAAACTCACCAGGTAGTACCATTAGCGCCAGTTATGGGTAAGCGCGACTTAATAACACACTCATCGCGTTTGCTAGATAAACTCAAACAGATTCTCGGTAAGCGACATTTTTTTTAGTGAAATGGTATAAATGCGTTATATTTTTGTTCTTGCATTTGTAAGAAAATGATTCAGACATGCGTCCTATTTTTTCCCGAAGAGAAAGCAGTAGCTTATTTTCAAAGTTAACTAACTGATGATGTCATCAAAACATGTGCGTGTTAATGAACACGATATGGTCAGCTGAGTACAATTTACAAACATTAATAGATTGGAACAATTATCTGCGGGAAATTTGTGCTCATAACGTTCCAAACAGAGCTTCCTGTAAAATCGGAGTGCTTTAAAAAATAGCAAAAATCGAGGAAAGCTATTTTATGCAGTGCGAAAACGAACCGAATCGCATAGTGATTGTTTGCCAAATACAGAAGCTTCAGCTACTTGAGAATTCCAAAGAAACGAGTGAATACGTCAGATAGTGAGATAATACGTCAGTAACATGAATTTTCCCGGTATAATTTTCAAATAAATTTGCTTGGAAAGGAAAGCGTATCTATTATTCACACTTCTGAAGCGTTTACACCTTTGGTCAAATCACATTAGCAATGATTTTAATTTTAGGCGGATTTATGGAAACGCGTAAGTCACAAACCAGCGAGAATCCTCGAGTTGCAAGGGGCCCTGTTTTCAGGCCAATTCTATTTCATTGTTAATAATGAAGAATTTGTATGTATGTATATATGCATGTTATATCGAAAAGCGGCGGAACCTAGAACCACCAAATTTTGAACATCCGAACATATGCACCTCAAAGCCCGAATTTTGAATGTGCCTTTTTATTAATTTCGTATTTTGTAAGGATTTAATGAAATTTTGAGTAACAAACTCAGAGATTTATGTTGTATTTATTAAGAAATATGTTGCCTTTGTTCGAAACAAATTATTTTTATCCTCTTCTCACCAGTGTGTTGCAATTCGCATATTTACCTTACTTCGAGTTTATTAAATTTAAACAATAAACTCGCCTATTTAAAAGCAATGTATTGCAGCTGCGGTAAACAAAATTCGAAAATGTGTTACCATTCAGCAAAACATAAGATACTTAACTTTTAAATTTAATCCCTCTGGTACTGATTAACAAAGTAAGCGATTTAAAAGTTATAAATACAGTTCTAAAGAATATGTTTTTACCCTAAAAGGTCTCGAAATACGTTGCTCCGGTTACTTCGCTTCAATGAGTTGTTTCAGTTTTCATTCGAATCTGCTGCCATTCGAAAAAACGTGAGATATCATTTTTTCATATTTAATCTATCTATTATTAATTAACGAATTAAACTATTCAAAAGCAATTGATGCAGTTCTTAGTAACATTATTTTTTTACTTCTGGATCGATAATCAAATAAAAATAGAATTAATGCATGACATATCTCATTAAAACATTCAATATTTTTACAGAATTACCTAACATATCTTTCACTTTTTACATTATACGGGAAATAAACGTTGCCTTGTTAATGCGTATTCGTCTACTGTCTTATGAAATGTTTCGCTATTCCTCTCGGGCCATTTGAATCGATAATCTGTACTATAAACTTTGAGAAATTTTTTGGACATTTCAGATTTTTCGATAACTTTCTAAACCGATTGATTTAAATAAAAATGCGTTTAATTTAGAAGGATTCACGAGGTTTCCTTTGCAATGGTAAAAGGAAAATGCATACTACAGACCGACCATAATTGTCATTAATTGTGTTGTTATTAAATTCTTCAATAAAAACAAAAGCAAAATAAAATGAAATAAAGAAAAATATGTAAAAATAGAAGAAGCATATATTTAAAAATGGAAAAGAAAATCTGAAAGGATTTAGATTTTAATGTCACACCAGATGGTTTCTTAAAGTTTTTGTCCTCTCGCTTAGATTACCAATCTGATCTTGGACTCACTGCTGCTAACACAACTTTTTTTGTGTCTTTATTATTAAATATCTCTTTCTTCGCACTTACACGATATAAAATTCAAACAATAAAATCTCAAAATTTTTAAGAGCAGTTAATATTTAAAATTCCCAAAAGAGTGTTAATGTTGCCATACACGTTTCTATTTTTTTCCAAGTCTTTTTTCAGTTCATCATTTCCAATGTTCAGGTTTCCTAACAAGATAGCCCATCAGCGGCCGAGCGGTAAAGTCGCTGAACACTAGTAGTTCGTCCGAGGTTCGAATCCCGCGAACGGGATGGCTACATGGGCGTTTTCGTGGTTTTCCCCATGTGTAACGTGTATACGAGCGCGACAATCCCTCATTTTTTTTTCGCTTAACGTTTTAACGTAATTATTAAACATGACTTTCTTCGCACTTACGTCTCATAATCTCCAACAGCAAAATCACAAAATATTTAAAAACATCATATCTTTAGAATCCGCGACTAAATGTTAAATGTTGCCATTCGTTGTTTTATATTCGCTATATTATTTCGTTCAAAATAATACCTGTCGATAACTATGGGTCCTTTTATAAGTGTTTCTATGCATTTTTTTAAACATTCGCTGTATTATTTCTTTAATGACAATAAAAGTAATAACATTTGGTGGCAATATCCTTTTAGTGACATGACACAAAACTGAATCAACAAAAAAGTAAAAACTGAAATTAGTAGCACCTCTGGGGAAAATAAAATAGAGTCTTATTTTTCATAAATCAGATTCTCCCTCCGCCCAAGCTTACAATTTTTGCTGTAGTAGAAAAAACAGTTTTAATTCGTTCCCTTTTCCATGCTGTTAATATCGACTTTAGTCCGCAAAGCATAGTATTCGCTATTACATACAGTATTGTACAGAACCAGAAAATATCTCTTGTTTGTTGCCATAGCAACTATGTTGGGCAGACAAGTAACATGCTCTGTTCATTTCATCAGAGCTTTCTTTCAAGCTTATCAGAAGAATTGCAATTTGCTTCTGGTTTGGAAACCCTATGCTTTAAGCTCAGGCACGAAATCGATGTCATGCGCAACTGTTGTTGAAAGAATCTTAAATTTACCTCATATAATTGGAAAAATGTAAAAGAGTTTGTGATTTTCGTATCGCAGCTACGCATATTTAAATAAAATTTTCTAATTTAAATGTTTGTATACAAAACTCGGGATTAAATTCCTCTGATATTTATTATAGCACTAAACGAGGATAAGATATTCAAATCCTAGAATTCCAGGATTAAAAAAAATATCTAATGTGGACACCATATGACTTCGTTGTACGGCTTATTAAATTATACACATTTTTTGCTGCACTTCATTTAAACTTATTTCTTCGAATTATTCTGACTTCATTAATAGATCCCTCAAGACAAGTTAAAAATGACATCAAAAATTGTAAATTTTGAAGTTAAGTATCCCGATCAAATTTGTCGTAAGAGAATCAAACTTCCTACACTTTTGTTTTATCATAGCGAGCATGAAATTTTCTCAGGTATAAATATAGAAACCAGGAGACCACATTAAAAATTAGATTTTTTTCTGCACAACTAGATATAGTGTCGTAGCTAGATATAGCTGCTGTGTTATAGCGCTCCCAGCAAGATGTTATAGCAGAATACAAAATTTCAACGTTGTACGGTTAATCGTTTTTGAGTTATGCAAAATACATACGTACGTACGTACAGCCGTAACAAATGTAACGTCTAATTAATCCGAATATATTAATTGAATTGCACTGTATAAGTCATTATCTTTTAAAATTTATTGTTAATTTAATTTCATTGCCAAATTTATTATCTTTTCCAATTACCATGGGAGCCCTACCCTTTTATTATTCGCGATTTAATATTGTAGATCAATTATGTCAATAGACTTATTTAATATATTATTTCCATTAAGCTATAATAAATTATTTTTCTCCTTTAGTGCATTAATTATTATATCCATTTTAAATAAAAGTTTATTTTATAAAGAAAAATATTGTATTTTTGTCCCCAATACCAAAACCTTGCTATTAATAAAATTATTTTTCGTAAGATATTAGAATAACTGCAGGACAGAAATAACTAAAGAATAACTGTCCAAATAAGAGATAAGTCTTAGCTTGTCTTTCAACCAGAAGAGATTACAAAAGAAGGGAAAAAG